AAGATTGATTTATGAGAAGTCTTTCATGGAGTCTGTGACTGATTCTGTTGATATCAACATGGAAGAAGGGTTCATGACACAAAAGATTATCAATAAACCAGATAAAGAAGCCACAAAGACTTGCCCGAAACGCCGACGCCATGAGAGCAAAGAGACAGAGCCAGAAGAGGCAAGGGTAAAGAAGAAGGTAAAGAGGAACATGAATGCAATGCCAGAAATTCTACCAAACTTATCGCCAGAGTTGCCTATAGAGTTCAGGATTCTCATTCAGAATATGGGTGGTTCTCAGGAGATGTTGATCATTCAAAAGCCATTGTACAAGACAGATTTGAGTCGAAGCCACGGTCGTTTATCGATCCCACAAAGCCAAATCAAAACTGATTTTCTCACAGCAGTCGAGAGAGAGCTTTTGAACGAATCAGAACTGAAAGTGAAGTTGATTGAGCCATGCCTTGAGCACTCCTACATACACTTGAGGAAGTGGGACATGAATACCAGGGCAATTTACGTATTGGTGAATAGTTGGAACGAGGTTTTATCGAAGAAGAAGAATGGGCTCGAAGAAGGTATGATGGTGCAGCTATGGTCCTTCCGGGTGGACTCTGAACTGTGTCTGGCTCTTGTTGTAATTTAGATCTCTGGAGAAGAGGGTGTCATATACATCGATCTTTTGCTTATGATCAGACCTAGAATTTAGATTTTTTTTTTTTCAGACCTAGAATTTAGAGTTTCTTAATATGCCCAGGAAAGGAGTTCTCTGTCCTCTAATTTTGTCTTTATATTATAGAGGGAATTTTCCACTATCCGGTGAAAAAGGAAATTATATACTGGAGTCAATAAATTGTAATTACTCTCTTCTGAATTTCTTTTCATCAAATATATATCAATGAAAGCATATCTTTTCTATTGCCTTGTATTTGTCACTTATTTAGTTTTTTATTTTGTTGTGCTGGGCATCGGTGATGATACTTGTATCTTGTGTATGAAACGTGTTTGCACCTTGTGCTCAGAATGATAATGTGATTCATGTATTTTTTCCTGGTGTAATGAGAGTACAGTTTGTTTTTAGTTGGCCTGCCCATATTATTTCAGTTATTTCAACTCATTTTGCTCATTTTGAAGGTACCTTTCTTTTCGAGAACAATACATGTTCTTTGTAATCATGGGTCTCATCCGTTTCATGGCCAATTCGGGGATGTTTCGGGTGAGTCCTTAGTCGACTACATCATCGTCATCATCGAATCAATGTGCATTCTCAAATATTATATTACTACACAACTACATCGCCCAAATCTTTTGCCATCTCCAATTTCTTCTATCTAACATTTCATGTGTATCATCGGTTTACATTCTCCGACAATGCGACTGATGCGTCTCACTATCTCCTGAGCCGATGAGCAATGTCACAACCTTGATCCTATGTGCTGAATTCATAAATTGCGAATTCCTAACAAGATCATGCCCAGGGCTGGAAACATGATACAATACTTTTTAAGGCAGACTTTTCCACCATGTAGTTATTCTCTGTTTTGTTCCCAAAAATTTTCAGAGCATTGTTCTGTTTTTGGTTGGACCCTCCCCTCCGACCGTTAGCTGTTGGTAGTCTTTCTGCTGTCTGTGGTGCATGCTTTATTTTGTGTTTTATAGCATAATGAAATCTTGAGGAAAGATGAATTTTCCTGAAGTTCTTTTCAAGGAATACCATTAATGATTGATGTTTTTTAAGCTTTCAAAGTGCAAATCTACAATTCATAATTTTTGCACAGGTTAATATTTTTGAATGAATTTCCTGGCTTTATTTATTTAATTTTTGGTTAACATATAAACTGAAATTTTATACTATCAAACATCTAGGCTACATTCGCCATTTTGTCTCTCTGTTGGTGCATACTTCCTTTTTCAAGCATCATGGTGGCTGAGACTTCATTAGGAATAATAAAAATGTTGATAATTTTTTTTTTTGAATATTAATTTTTTTAATTACGAATTTATCCATGACTTATTTAACTATTGACTAACAATAAACGACGTGTATTGCACGTGAATATGTTTAAATAATATTTTTTAATTTAATATCTATAATTTATTTGAATAATGAATTATATGTCAAATAATTAAATATTATTTTAATTAGTGTTAAATCTAATAATTGATCCACTCCACCCCTATTTTAGTACCTAATTTGTCTTATATAGGCATCCCTCCAGTTCCTTTAAATATCTTCTCCTTTGTTTATTGTGAAATTTTATTGTAAGATTGTCATTCTTGAATATTTACACCTCTAAATATATTATTATATATTTTTTATCAAAGAGATTGATTAAATTATAAACTTTTATTTGTATTATAGTATTATGATATTGTTACATACAAAAAACAAAAAAAAATCAAATGTGACATATATGGGATGGTAAAATTCAATCTATCAACTACACGTATCGAAAAATAGAATATTAATGGTTTTCATATTTTAAGGAATTAAAGAAATTTGAAATTCAAAAATTTACCTTATGAAATATATTTTACTAGCTTGACTCAAATTTTGAAATTCATTTTTTTATATTAAACAGTTCTGGTTGTTCTCAAATCTAATAACAGTATCACTTTGCAACTGTGATGTAACACTGTCATTCATTAAAAATAATATATATATATATATATATATATATATACATACATACTATTTAGATTGTATATGAATCGGTGAATATAATTTCATAATTTTTTTGTCAGTAATTAAAGTGTTAATGATTGTGTTACACTGTAATGTATTATTGTAATGTCACATTATCGGCAATTTCAATGGTACTTCAATGTTTGTGTGTGTGTGTGTGTTTTTGTTGAAAATTGAAGGATTTTACTGCAGAATTTTTTTTAAAAAAAATTAAAAATTCATATTTTGAGGGATATAACAGTTGACGAATTTAATAGGATTGTTCCATAATTATGACAGTTTTCTTATCCATTCTTTGCACTATATAATTGTTACCTTATGGGTATTTCTGGCATTCCAAAAAAAAAATTTTATGTATAAAATATTTTGAACTAAATATTTTTTAACAATTATGTGGTAAATTAAAAATGAGGAATGTTATTTGAATCTAAAAAGTTGATATAATTTGTTGACTTAATGATGTAGTTTCATATGAATCATTTGATCAACACTAAATTCCGATGTTTGATGGAATCTATAATCAATCCAAATGTCATAATGAATTAGGTCAACAAATTATGTCAATAAATTAGGTCCCACTAGCATTACTCTTTAAATATCTAATCCAAACCTTATTCGATTGTCTGATATATTTTATTTTTAAATTCTTTTTTTGAATTGGTTAAAAATTGAAATCTGACCCATTTCAAAGAACTCATAAAAACTAAATTTTAGCCAACAAAATTTGAATATGTACTTGGTTTATTTTTGAATTCGTTAAGCTTACCTGTGACTTTAAGTTACAGATCACACGGGCACTTCCCAATTTATACTTCTTGATATTAAGCAAGACACTAATTGATGATTAGGAAAAAAATATTATATTGACCCAATTAATTTATTTGTTAACTTGATACATTAGAGGATCTCCAACCTGTATGCCAAATGCCAGGCTCTTTTTGGCATGTAAGGCTTCGCCAACCGACATGCCAATTCTTGGTTGAGCAAAAACAAATTTGACACATCTCAATAAATATGTCAAATTTGATCTTTTTAATACAATATTTTATGGAGTTGTTGGGTGTTTAATATAATTTATTTTATGCAGTAACATATAATTTGGTTAGAATTTAATTTTTAGAATTGTACTTTTAATTGTCGTTTAAATTTATATTAGCTAAGTTTGATGGGAATTTTAGTTTTAATAAAATATATACTACTTTTCATATAAAATTAATAATATTTTAAAATATAATATTTATTTTAATTGATCCCAAAATTTTGTTTTAAATATATTTATTAAATTAATATAAGAAAAAAGATTTATAAATAAAGACGGTATATACATTATTTTGACATATCGGTCGGAGTGCAAGAAAAAAATATCAAATGCTATATGTCAAATTGTCACATAAAAACCTTAAAATTTAAATTTGCATATAACATTTGGCATCTCCAATGGAGATGTTTTTATAATCATTTAATTAATAGGAGAATTCAACTAATAGTGAGATTTACGGGTAATTCAATTGTAGTGAGTCATCAGATAAACTGATTAAATCATTAGTAAGTCTTCACTTTAGACATACCAATCCAACATGAATAACAAGCGTGCGTGAGAGCTATCAATCCAACTTAGGAAACCATGATGAATAGATTTGCAGAAAATCCACACGTATACCCCAGCGGTATGGTATTAGATCTAGTTTAATCGTAAATTTGAACATTACGGGTTTGACTTTTGCTGGTAGCTCCTGAGCTTAGTTAAGACCTATAATTCTTCATTACCAAAAATAAAAAAATATATATATAAATTTCACTTTATCCTACAATTATACACGGATCTTGCAAATCTCTCCAAACCTTATTTGAACTGTAATTACAAACCGCTTAACAAATCTCTCAACCCCTGATTGGCCATCAACTATCAAGAACATCATTACCCAATACCCACATAATAAAAACTTCTTCAATAAATATCGCCATGTGTTTAATGCTCTGTTTAGATTAGGAAAGCAAAACCCTAGGAGCCAAAGTAATCAATCACATACACACGTTTGCTGATATGAATGAAGGTTTATGATTGTCGGTATATTAGTTAGTGACCCTTTACGAGTTCATCTCCAATATCAAAAAGATATCATTACCCACATAATCACAAACTCTTCAGTAAAGATCCTTGGAGCCCAAGTAACTAACATTTATAGAAGCGCATGATCAAACTGTGTATTATTTGGTGATAATTCTTCGCTCACTCAACTATATTTTCATCTCAATCTGTGATTGTATTTCCATCTGTCAAGAAGAGCAAAAGTGTTCTTCTTCAATTATCAAGATGAAAAGAACAATGTCGAATGCTGATGATTTTAAAGGTGCTGGGTACGAACCCATTTACGAAGGATTGCACATGTTGGCGGAGGCAGTGAAAATGTTCGAGAAAGAAAAGGAGTTGATTTAAAAAAACTCGTGCCAAAATATTTTCGGTCGCACAAGCCTAGGTGGTAAATCTGTGTATGAAGAATCGCTGACTGATCCAATTCTTCCATTGATCCTTTTTATAAGACAGGGTAAGAGATCGTTGAGAAAAAAGAAATCGTCCAAGAAAATCACTTTCATAGTCCCAGATGACGCGTTCAAGGGTGAAAGATTGATTTCAGAGAAGTTTTTGGGGAAGCCTGTGTCACATTCTCTTGTTACCAACTTGGCAAAAGGGTTGGTAACAGAAAAGATGATCAAGAAACCTGACACAGAAGCCATAAAGGCTTGCTTGAAACGCCGACGCCATGAAAGGAAACATGCAGATCAAGAAGAGAATAGGGCAAAGAAAAAGGTCAAGAGAAACATGACGCAATACCAGAAATTCTACCACTACACTTGCCTGTACAGTTCAAAAATCTGATTCAGAATATGGGTGGTTCTCAGGAGATGTTGATCATTCAGAAGCCATTGTACAAGACAGATTTGAGCCGAAACCATGGCCATTTATCAATCCCACGGAAGCAAATCAAAAACGATTTTCTCACTCCGGATGAGAAGATGCTTTTGAACGAATCAGAATTGAAAGTGAAATTGATTGAGCCATGCCTTGACGACTGCTACATACACTTGAGGAAGTGGGAAATGAAAACGAGCTCAATTTATGTGTTGGTGAATATTTGGAACGAGGTTTTGTCGAAGAATGGACTCGAAGAAGGTATGGTGGTACAGTTATGGTCCTTCCGGGTGAACTCGCAACTGTGTCTGGCTCTTGTCGTGGTTTAGATGTGGAGAAGAGGGTGGCAATGGCAAAAAGCACTGGAGTTTTTGGCTTATGATCAGATCTACGATTAAGGTTCTTATTTTGATTTGTATCATTTTGCTTTAGTGTAGGTATTAGTTCTTAAAAATAGGTCCATGAAACGGTTCTTTGTCATTTGTTTTTCTTGTGGACAGTTCTTTCCTCAAGCAAAAATTATATGAACTGGAGTGAGTAAATTGTAATTAATATTCTTTTAGTTTGACATATCTCTTGTTTGAAGTTCCTCGATGGAAGCATATATTCTTGAAACAATGCTATATAAACTTTATTTAGAAACTTAATTTAGGGAATTAATGATGTGATTTCAATGTAACTATTAAATTAGTTATGAGTTTTAATTTTTAGATCGAGTCCACAACTAATCCAATAGTTGTGCATTATTAGGTCTAAATAGCATTTTTCATATTCTTGATATCAATATTTTTTCTATTATCTTTAATTTGTTATGTTTTTTTTTGTATTTTTGCATGTTGTGGTGGGCATTCCCCTAAGAAGGTTAAATGCAGCAAACATGTTAAATCCATGAAGCTTTAAATCCTCCGTTCCAGAAGAAACAGGAGATAGAGCACTTGAAGAGTGATTTGAGGGAGTTTGTTAATTGGCTTATGACCTCTAATGGGAAACTTTTTTAATTTCTGCCTGGAAACAGATTTGTCCCCTTCCCGACCTGTAGCTTTTGCAAAAACTTATATTGTTCATAGAGTTTATTCCTAGGATGGGTCTTACACTCTGGTTGGCCTTTAGAGTTCAGAATGCACTCTTTAGTCTCATAATCACTTATTTTTTATTCGGTATGTAAAATAATTTTATTCAGAAAAAAAAAAGAAGATAAACAACAAAGTTTCATTACTGCTTAAGGCTAAAATGAGCATGACCTTAGGCAAGTTGCTCACGACATACCCTCTCCTAAGGAATAAACACCTCCAGACACAAAAAAAAAAAACACAAACAAATTCTCTCACAACTCCTAGGACAAGTACTGTTTCTTAAGTTCCAACACGACTCAAGTATATGAAGCAATATGTTCCAACTCTTGTCAGATACAATAGCCAGACGCTTGTTTCAATAAAATTGTGCCATAGGCTGCACAACATTGGAGACAAAAATTGATGCTTAGTGTGTCACGCCCAATTTTCATTTAAGCGTGATTGAATAAAAAGTAATATTTATCCCAAAATTTCTTATCATTTATAATAATTATTGAATGAAATGAAATATTTGATTTAATAAAAATATATTTTTTCAAAAAAATTCAACAGAGTTTCATTTGAAAATTGAGTTTCCAACTAGCTAGTAAAAGCATCTCTGTTAAAACATAACATAATTTAAATTAACTAAGCATCCACAACATACATCCATCAAAATAGAATCCAACTAAAGTCGGGGTGACAATTAGAGTCCCATGAAGTCCTCCCAAACCCGTAGACATCCAATACAACTATACTCCAAAACTTAATACCAAAAATCATAACTTTATATTACAATGCCCAAATAATAATCTCTCTATGGGATGATCAAGTGTACACCACAAGTATCTCAAGGCAACCCTTTCAAATACAATGTTTGTATGCTAACATTTCTATATAAGTTCTACAAGTAAATACAAAAGGATTCCGAAAGAAATTCTTCCTAGTCCAAGCTTCCACAAGCGTTTCATCACCTATTCCCCAAGATACATGTTAGTCTATGAAAGTATTAGTCAGGGATAATGAGCAACCACAAGCCAGTAGGATAATATTTTTTTCAAGCATGTATAAAGTTTTAAAACCAACATTTCACAAACCATATGAATAAATAATGAAGTTTTTTATGATCAAGTATAGGTACAAGTAGAGCATTAATAAAAATCTCCCCGCACATCATCATTTGAAATATATAAGTTATAAATCAAAGATTTATACGTTGAAACTAAATGATCATAGCAAATACCATACATGCCCCGGATACCAACAACATAATCAATCAAACATTGGTTCACACATAAACCATCCCGAGAAAACTTTTGGTCTTGCACCTAGGGGTGTCCATGGTTAGGCCCACAAAATTTTTTTAGGGCCGGGCCTAGATAGTGTAGGTCCAAGTCCTTACCCAAGTGAGTTATCGGACCGTGTTGAGCTTCAGGTAGGGGTAAGCTACCTGCAAGCCTATTGAGCAGATCATTTGGGCGAGCTTGCTATGCGAGCCTGCTCGTGGGCTTTTTTATATACAAATTCATTTAAAAATAATGAATATTTTTGTAACTTAATATTTGTGTAAATAATATTTTTAAATTAAAGTAGTAGAGTCAAAATGGATAAAAATAAAATAATGAATAATTTTATTTTTGATTAGGGGATGAACTATATCCAATAGAATGAATACATCCCAATTAGGTTGACACCTACTCACTTATCTATCATTTGAATTATTCTACCATTTAAAACTTGTATGCTTAATACATTAAAAAGAAAATAATACATTATTTATAGTGTCTAAAATTTTAAAACTTCAAATTCCGATATTGTGAGACTTATTTCAAAATTTTAAATTTAATGGTTTAAAAGTATAACTTTTTTTCAAAGGAATGGTGCGCGGGTTGTGTGGATGGGTTGGGTTTGGTAGGCGGGTTTGTAACGACCCAAAATTCCCCATGGACGGTATTACTATTTAAAACTATTTACATCATGAGAGCAACTAACAAAGTTCATAATTAAAGGAAATTTCATTTCATCATTCATAATATTTACAACTTCATCCAAAAGAATATGTCAAGCCATGACCATTGCATCCAAAAGAATATGCCAAACTATGACAATTACATCCCAAAAATCAACTATTATCTTGCAGCAGAATAACAAAAATATTAAACTTCACATTGTCTCAAAATAAATTTTCTAGTCTAGAACATAAGAGAATATAACTCTAAAAGTCCACCTGGGGATCCACATTCCCATCTATTTGGAGCTTCTCAATGTACCAGCTCATCAACTTTGAGCTCCTCATCTAAATCATAATCTAAAAAAGATATTATTTGTAGGGGGTGAGCACTAAGCTCTGTAGGAAAATCCTCCCAAACTCGAACAAGGATTCAAAAGCATATAAAACAGTCAGTCTCATTTTACAAATATCATATATAGCTTTTGAAAGAAAACATAGATATTTCAATGGATCTCAAGTTTACGCAATAGCCATAATTAAGTAAAAGAGTACAACCAATTTTTAAAAATAACAATTCCAACAAGTTACCCTTTCCATATTAACCATTTTTACAGTAAACCAATTGCCCACAATAAACTCCTTTCCACAATAAACCATAACCAACCATTTGTATAATAAATAACAGCACATAATGTATCTCAGGTATGATGTAAGATATTGCATGAATAAACACATCGACAATATCATATCCTACATACACACACTCAAATTCTCGCAAGGATATACAACTTTAGAAAGACCATATACCGACGCATCAATAGTGACGAATCCAACCTAAGAATAGTATACTAACCCTTAGTTTCGATACTCGTGAGTGAATAGTAATTTGGTCCTCGCAAGGCACCAACCCAACTACGAATGATAGAAAAAATTCAAACCCTCACGAAGTAAAAAACGCATCTATCCACTTTATGATACACAGTTAACGGTCATCCATGTTCATACAAACATCCACAAGAGATACAGTACCCAACCAATTTCTTCAATCCCAAGTAAAATCCAAAATTCTCAAATTTTACATGTATTATTCCAATAGAACAATTTAAGAAAAGAGATCATCAATAATACCATTTTATAGTTCAATACCAAGCATTAGAGTTTTGAAATCAAGAATAAAGAAAAAATCAAGAGAAAAATTTATTTTCCTTGATAACTAGGGTTTTAAGACAAGAAAAAGAGATTTTATGGCTATCTGACCATAGTTTTGTTTAAAACATGGTAATATTTGCAAGAATATCAAGAAATAAGAATTTTCTAACATATAAATAGGATTTAGAGTCAAAACATACATATATATAAATCTTAGCCTCAATGGAAGAGAATAGGAAGAAACCCCTACTTTCTTCCTTAGTTTTGTGTGAACAACTTGAGATTTTGATCCACTTCAATGCGAAAATCCCTCTTGATCTTGTGTTTCTCTCTTTCTTTCTTCCTTTATAAGACTCTCTAGGGTTAGAAATGTTGAAATTGTGCTAAGGGAGGCAACCTTATGTATTTATAGGGTGAGAATAGAGTTCAACCGACGTAAATCTGATGTTCTGATTTACTACTCATGTTTGAACGTCATTAGCGTTCGGATGTCATGTGCTTCCAGTATTTTTGTTTTTCCATTAGACAAGAGTACTAGAACGAATTGTCGTTCGAATGGACTTTCATGTTCAAACGGACTTTCACGTTCGAACGGTTGGCGTTCAAATGGACTTTCACGTTTGAACGTCATCCCATTTTCAGTTGAACTTCCAATGAATGTTTGGCCAATTTAGAGCTCACTTTAGGTAATTTTCGTGAAATACACTTTTGTAGCTCTTGAAATATAGTTTCTACTGTCCAAAAATCAGATCAATCTAATTTAGGAGTAGAAAGCTATGGCTAAATTACTAAGGTAGTGTCAAATTTTTTTCTACCCAAATCCTCTCCAAAATAGGTTTTTAACTCCAAAATACTTTCTAACTTCTAATACACCCCATATTACCTCTTCCAATATTTTTTGACCTTCCAGATTCAATGGAGGCATTATTATGATGTAAAAATATTTAAAAACTTACCTAATCACCCTTGTTAAGGTTATACACCTTCGAAACTAAGTTTGACCCGAAAGTTAATTCGTTTGAAACTCAAATTTCATGATCAATTTTTCAACAATAATTCTAAGTTTCTAAAATTATTTTATTCATATTAGGAGAAATCTTAAGATAATAGTATCCTTATTTAATTTTTTTAATATGGGATCTTACAGGGCTCTTGGGGCCGGGTTTTAACGGATTTT